AATCGCCCAGCTCACCGAGGCCACTCTTAATGCACGTGCCCTTCTTGCGCCGCTCGCGCACTTCTGCCTGCAGTGCCCGGCCGCGTTTGACCCTCATGCGTGTACGCACAGACTTCAACGGAAAGCGTCTGGCTCCTCCTGTGGCAGGCCGAGAACTACAAGTGCCAAGAAAAAAAAACAAGGCGCAAATGGAAATGACACAGGAAGTATCACGAGTGGCACAAAAGAAACGAACAACGACAAAGAAAAAAAACCTCTGCATATATATGTGTGTGGGCGTGACTGTTAAAGAATACAACGAAGTTCCAAAAGTGCGAGAACAACCTCAACCTGAGGAGGCGGAACTAAACGTATACAAAGAGAGGTACCTACCACCGCAGGCAGAGGCTTTGCAACTGATAATCACGCTGAACCGGTCCCAGATGACGCTGAATGTTGTTGCCGTTGTTGGTGCTGTTTCCTGAAGACGCGCATGCAGAGGTCATACGTCACAAATATAGCCGCATTTGACGGGAACGCACGCACTGCAGTTAGCGACCAACCGCAATACAGCGCCCGTATGCCGCCTTCCAAGTACAACTGCCGCAGCGCCTCCATGAAGCGGTAAGAGGCAAAGGTCGGGTCCACCTGCACCCGCGTCTTGACAACGTCAGCGGGGAAAAACGCAGTCCAGAACGCCACCCCACTGCAACCCCCAGCAAACATAAGTCGCCACGGCGAGAGATCGGCGGTTGAACTGCCTGCAGGAGTCAGAAGCTCCTTCGTCTTATCGTACGTGCCGCAATACGCCGCGGTGCCAGGCACCTCACGGGCAAGCATCGCCACACCGCCTTTGTACAGCGCCGTCACGCCACCTTGACGTGCAATCTTCACCATACAGTCCATGACGCCGTGGTACTGCCGCTGCTCCACGGGCAGCATGTTCNGTCACGCCACCTTGACGTGCAATCTTCACCATACAGTCCATGACGCCGTGGTACTGCCGCTGCTCCACGGGCAGCATGTTCGCCACCTGCAGGTGGCACTTGACAAGTTCCAGGGGAGTTAAAAAGGTTGTCGACGCAACGCCACCGCCAATGCCTCCAATGGCGATCTGCCAGGCAAGCGGGTGGTACTCATCAGCGCCTAGTTCCCGCAGGGTCCACTTATAGAAGGAGAAGACAACAGCGTGCTCGAAACCTGAGCCTACGAAACGTGTTAAAACACCGTGATAGAAGGAAAGCATTCCTTCTTCTCTTACAAGCTTCACAGCACAGTCCATGTAGCCTTTGTACCGCGATCCGTACGCCTGCAGGCGAACCTTGATCGTGTCGAGCGGGTATTCCAGCACCACGCCTACTACACCGGACGCCGTACCGGCGGTGAATGTGTGGAGGTACTCTTCTGCCATTCCTGCGTGGCAAAGAGCTATGCAACATGCGACGAAAAGAGAAAAACAAAACACAACCACAGTACCAAGACGGCACCGAAACAAGAGAGAGAAGGAAGAAGGGTGAAAAATAATTAGAGTATGGATATATGTGCTGCTGCAACGCACGCGAAACAAAAAAAAAGAATTCAAATCCCTCATGCGTTATTTGCGTGTTGTAGACGTGCTCACAGCGTGGAATATTCGCTAATTCCGGGGCCTCTTTGCGGGTGGTGCGGCACTCATCCCGACGGCTTCACCACCGCCGTCATTGCCGCCAGCCTCATCAGAGCCGTCGCTCTCCACGTCGCCGCCCTCCCACTCCGCAGAGTCCATGAAGCTGCTGCTCGGTGCGTCGCACGCCATCATAGCAACTACATCCTGATCCCTGCCGCCGCGAGCGGCAACGGCACCCACTGTAGACTTCGCACCCGCTGCTTTCGCCATGTTGCGGCCAAAGAAATCGTAACTCCTCGTTTGCGCCGCCTCTATGAATGCAAATGCCTCGCTAAACAGGCCGCAGTTTTTCTCCGCTGTCGATGCGGACGGCTGGACGAAAGAAGGGGGCAACGATGCCATTTCAGCCAGCACTTCACCCGTTTGTGGTTTTGAAATGGCAAAGTAGGCAAGAGGCGGGCCTCCGTTGCCGTGGTACGTCATTGCTGATAAAACTCTAGGAATTGTCAACGAGGGTAAACACAATCGCCAGTAGTAACCAGCAGCGAGAAGAAGAAAAAGAAGAAATGAATCAAAGAGAAATGATGAGAAGCGCAATCTAAACAAATCAAAAGGTTTTAGCCCAAGTTTCTGTTTTCCTTCCTCATCGGTTCATGCCAGAATGCGGTGGGTCAACACATTCTCGCACTCGTTATGTCTCTTTCATACTAAAAATCACTAATTCCCCACCCCCCCCACACTTTGCCCGAGACGAGCCGGGAGGTATCGCTCAAAGACGGAGAGCTTTTTTTTTCTTTTTTTGAAGGCTTTCATGCGCCCCCCACTTGCCACCGGAATGGTACTGGTTCATTCTTCTGATGTGGTCCTCATTCCCTCTACAATAAGGCAGCACGCTTTTACATCGCACCCGCACCTCAAAACGTATTCAGTACACCTTACACAATCGAAAACGAGAAAAACCAACCACAATCAAATATGAAGGAAAACACAAAAAACGTTTGCACAGAAACTATACGCAACAGGAAAAATGTTGCGCTGTTACATGACCGTGCACCCGCCGCTGGAGCCACCACGCCTCTTGTACTTGGAAAGCCATTGCATCTGCGTCTGATTGATGGCACCACGCCGCTTCTCGCGAACCATTGAAATCGCGTCGAGCGGCTCAACACCGCCGTACTCCACAAGCGCCAAAGCCACAAGAATAGGCGCGCGACCAAGGCCAGCCACACAGTGGATCGCAACCGTGGCGGGCTGTTCAGAAGCTCCAGAGTCCAACTGATCCTTTTCAGCATCTAACAGCCGGAACCAGCTCTCCAGTACCGACTTCGGCGGAGCCGCACCATCATCGAACGGCCAGCTGTGGACCTCAATGCCGCTCTTTTCAACGAGCGTCGCGTCGTAGGTGGGGCCACACACACGCACAAGATGCCGTACATGCCGCCGCTGCAGCGTCTTAATGTACGTGGGCAGATTACTCGGAGACGGGGCATCGAGAATGAGGAGGTTGAACAGCGTGCGTGACGGGTTCTTGCCATCCTGGCACTCAATGAGCGTGCAGTTCACCTCCATTGATTCACCTTGTAGTTCTTCGGCACGGCGGATTTGCTCGCTGCAAACGGCGAAACTGATGAAGAGCACAGGGTTACAGCTTGCCTGATTTTATTTCGTTGTGGGACTCGTTTGGCTTCCTTTGGGTTGGCGAAAGTGGGTGGGAAATTGACTTCAGCTTTCCAGCCACTGCCTTCTAAACGCCGCTCAACTTCTGTTGTATGTAGGTCGTGCTAGAGCAACCCAAAAAGTAAGTACCATTGGAAAAGAAAGCCAGTTTATCTGCATAAGGAATATATACATGTATGCGTTGTGACATTATTCCAATATCAATGACGGTTACACTTCAGTAGAAGAGAGAATGTGTAAAATGAGTTATTACCATCTCCCAGTTATGCAGCCATTCCAGTAAGTCTCACCCATCACGCATAGGCGTTGCCTCCAGAGATGTTAGTCGGATTCTTCCCACCACACATCGCAATGCGGTGCAGATACCAATATGTCGTATAATAATTCGCTTTATTCCTGTTAAGCCCATCATTAAGGTCCACACAATGAAATGGTTGTGGTACACACATTCGCCTCATGCCCCTACCAATACGCAAATCCCTCTGGCAGCTGACAGGGCGCGGCACAACCGCGCAACCCTGCGACTCCTCCGGCGCGACGTCGCCAAGAGATCTTTTTTCTGAGAACGCTGCTCTCGATCAAAAGCCCACAACTACAGTCAATTCCTCAGCTGCCATCCAGTCGGGTGTGAACAACAGCACCCAAACTCAAAGAGCGTCAAACAGTCCTCTGCACCACACAAGAGATAAAACACGCTGCGCATCTCGGGAAGAGCAAAGCCCCTTCAATACAACTTCCGCTCTCAAAACAGAAGTGCGGCGAATTCTTCACAAGCGACCGGACAAAATAGGTTGAAATCGCAGCAAAGCGTCATTCCGAAGACGGGAACGCCACCCAGAGCACGCATGGGGCCCTCAATTCAAAATGCGTTTCCAGCATGCTGCAAGAAACAAAAAAAAAAGCCTTTGCATCCCCTTCACTATTACGCGTTGCTAGGCGCCCCATGCTGTTGACTCACGCCACATAGCAGCGACTCCTTGCTAGCAACACACACAAAAAGATACCTTCACATTTGGGGTCCTACAGCGGGGGAAACATGCAAGAAAAAAATCACGCAGTGAGGAACAAGAGAGAATTAACACGCAAGCACACATGCAAGGGGTCTGCGCATAGGAGCGCACGGTAACTCCGAGTGCTACGGTTTAAACGCCGGTTAGCCCACTGGCAACAAAAAAAACACAAAAAGGTGCACGTTGAAAAAAGAGTCACAATGCGAATTAATGAAACACGTGAAGACACAGGAGTCACACATGCTCTTCGTACCTCCACCAACCACACTTACTTGCTCCGCTACTGCGCCGATCAGCTCATTCACCTCATGTGATGCACGTGTGTGGCACAAGAGGTCTGGTTTGCAAACTAAATCACAGGGCATGGGAAGCAAGGCTGTCACAGCAACACTCTCGCATGGCACACTGTCGCTTCGCCAGCTGAGAATCTCAGACGCAAAACGCTCGTCCGTAGGAAACGGAACGCAAGTGCAAAATTCTCAACAGGCCTCATAACAAACGTGTGTAAACATATATATAAATATATATGTTACCAGCTCACATCAAGGCGCATTTTGTGCATGCCAGAGAGCCCTCCTGGTTCTGGACGTGCCGCGGCTTGTAGCGCATCAGCCAGTTGAGCTGCACTTGATTTATCGCGCCCTTGCGCCGCTCCCGCACGTAGCCAGCCGCGTCCAGCGGCGGCATCCCGCCGTACTCGACAAGCGCCAGTGCCACCAGAATGGGAGCTCGACCAAGGCCCGCCACACAGTGCACAGCAATGGTCTCTGGTGGAATTTTATTCTTTTCCTGCTCCAGCAGTTCGAGCCAGTTGTCAATGACGACCTGCGTGGGCGGGGCGCCGTCGTCGAAAGTCCAGGCATGCACCTGAATGTCATGTCTCGCGAAGACCTCCAAGTTGTACGTAGGGCCGCACGCACGTACTATGTGCCGCACGTTGTGCTTCTGCAGCAGCTTCACGTACGTGGGAACACTGCTCGGCGACGGGGCGTCGAGAATGAGGAAACGGAAGACGACAGTGTCGGATTCCCCACGCTTGCACTCCACTAAGGTGCCATTAACCTCCATCGCTAGAGGAGCAAAACTAAATATAAGAGTGCAAGGCAAAAGAGAAAACCAAACAGGGGCTCCATAAGTCAAACACTCAAATCGATACAAGCGCCAGCGCATCATTGCGCAACGCACATCACCATCCTTACATCCCAACTGACAGTACACAAGGGCGGCGTATAGCTCCCTTTGGAGGGCGACAAGACAAAACGCTGCCGCACTCTTTCCTGCAGAATCGGCCCGCAGTGAAACGCGCCCTCAGAGCGGTACAGCTCCTTCGGCTCAGATGCGGTCTCGTAGAGCTGCACAGAGTGGCGGCACGACAACAAATCGTCGGCGGTGCCGTACATGAGCAGAACAGACCGCGGGGCAATCTTGGCGATGCAGTGCAGCGCCTGGCAGTGCTTGCACGGCCTCTTGCCGTTGCGGAAGTTTAGCCAAAAAGACGACGTCCGGCGGAAAGGGCTGAAAAAGAACATGCTGTACGCCCGCCGCGAGAAATATCCACCAACCATCTCAACAATCTTCTGGTCCCGCAGCGTCGCACACGTGAGCACTGCATTGCCCCCTTCAACGACAGCAGCGGCGCCCTGGACATCCAGCGGGGCCCGCCGCACCGCTCTCCTGTTCCTCTTGTCAAGGATGCCGCCGTTAACAGACTTGAAGTAGCAGAGCAGCGCCTTCGCAAAATCCATGTGGCCGTGCTAGGCGATAATGTGGAGGGCCGTTCGCCCCCTGATCAACAGCCACATTGACGTTCACAACCCCTCTATTCCTTTGCTTTTAGAAGCGTCTGAGTGTCGTCAACCTCCGCGGCGACGTGCAGCTACGTCATGCTTGATAACATGTTCCAAAACGTTTCACACAGCGATAGACACCAACGTCTCTTTCGCCCCTTAAGAGAGTTTCATTGGTGGCTCGGCTTGTTCACCTCCGCCTTGTACCACGTGCCTCAACACGAGGGCAAGTGGATGGGACAAGAAGCACAGCAGTGAAGCACAAAGAGGTTCAATGCAGCCCCGCCTTCAAGCTACTTTCACCATTGAATTTTTTTTGTCGGCGCTCTGTTTATTTCGGCTGCTGCAAGGCTGTGTAGCCCTAAGGGCGTACAATGGCCCGGCGCGTCCGGTCCGCGCCGCTTCTGCAACCGAATTCCTGGAGCACTGCGCCTTCAGAAGTGCCCGTCGCACCGCACCACCTTCTCTCAGCGCGGCTTGGCCAACCACGTAGCGTTGTAAATAGAACGTGCTGCGGCGGAAAGCATCGACGCCAGTCACACCTCAATGCGGAATGCCTCATGCGCCATCCGTTCGGCGTGGGGGCTCAGAGAAGAAGGTGCAACTGCCGTTCCGCATCCGCTGTGGTGGAAGGGGCACCAATAGACATGCATCCGTGGCAGTGCCCATCGCCGAAACAGACTCGCTGCGCCCACTGCAGCCAACACAGAGGCTGAATGCTGAAGGGTGCCGCTCCCCACCACCTCATCAGCACTGCATCAGGGGGGCAGCGCTGTGGTGCAGGGAAACGTGAAAGATACGCCACATGCTCCGTGGTGCCGATCCATCACCTCATGAGGAGGGAGATGCCGCACGAAGCCCCGGTGTCTGCGCTTCGCCCACACACCGCATAGAGGGAAATGCGGTAACTGCAACACTTCTGCGGAAACAGACGGGAGGGAGAGACGCAAGCAGGATGGCAGCAAGAAAGAACCGCGACGGTCGACGCAGGAAGCGCCCCGCAAACGTTGGCTCCCCCGCGTAGTTGCAGCGTGGAGAAACAGTCACAGAAAAAAAAACAGGCAGTAGCATACACATAAACATTCTGCACGCCCGTAGAATGTATTGCCCTGTTTTACTGTTGGTTTTGGCTCCCGCCAGCAGCCGTCGGCTGCGGTAACGTCCCCGTGAAGGAGCGTGAAGACCGCAGCCTCCGCCGCCGCGAGAGCACAACAACAACAACAACGCGCAAGCGCACACAAAAAAGACACTGGCAGCCAAACGACTCACACGCCACGCAGGGGAAAATGGGGAGCCCCTCCACACCACGCACGGCACCGTGCGGTTCCTCAAACGAAAACCGACGAAGAGAAATGAGGATGAAACGATGGAGACAAGAAGAACGTGTTCCTGCGGATGAGAACAAAAAACAACACAAACAAAAAAAGGCCCTGGAAACATTAAAGACACTACGCACAGAAAGAAAAAAAGTACAGGGTGAGAGAAAATTGCCCTTCCCGGTGGAAAAATAAGAGAACCACAACACGCAATAGAAATAGGAAGCTTGACATAAAGCACACACGGCGAAACGTGGCGCTGACACTCTCTCTCCCTCTCTCTCTCTCCTTCTCCTTCTTTCTCAGATTCGTACGACCCACACGCCTGCGTGTTGCGGCAACTCTTCCGCGGCATTCATAATGCCCGCACCCCGCCCCGCGAGAAATTCTCCCGCGGGCGCCAGCCGGTCGTGCAGAAGAAGAAGAA